GATGCAAAAGATTAACTTCTTCACTACTCCTAAACAAAAAGAAATTGCAAAAAGAGTTGAGTTATCTAAATATTCATACAGTGATTCAAGATATTAGTACTATATAGATGGAATTCATCATCTTATTCATGGAGAAGGTTGATTGATTTACAAAGTGCAATTACTCATTTACCATCTGAACTTATAGCTGATTTAAAAAAATATTTGAACAAATCATGTTAGTGAAAATTTTTGTCATTAAATTATCAACAATGATCATTTCAATGTCAATTATCATACAGGCATGCATAGTAAAAATATAATATTTAGTTTTTGTATTTTTTTAAAAATTTATATATTTAATTACATAATATGTTATGTTAGTAAAAAAATAAAGTATATATATTATAACTATGATATCTGAAAGCATTAATATTAATTTGAAAGTGTTACTATTACTATCATACATGAAGTTGAAATATTTCGACCTGAGAGATCATAGTTGAATCAAAAGTTAAAATGGTTGAAATTGCATCATACAACAAGCTGAATTAATATACAGAAAATTAATCAAAAGCTTCAAATCCTCATAACTTGGTCAATATCTGGCTATTTTTAATAAAACAACTACCATTTGAATTCTCTCAATGAGGTGAGTCTAATGAGATGTACATATGTAAACTTGATAAGTCAGTCACTTGATAAGTCAGTTTACTTGATAAGTTGGCCAAAAATTTCCTTAATATTTAAGTAATTTAATTCAATAAGTTGGTTTACTCGATAAGTCAGTCATATGAGCTCACCCCCACATGACCAATTTATCAAGTTTACATATGTAATTCGAATCACTAATGATTGAGATATTTTGGTTTGCCATAATATTACAATAACTCGCCATTTATTGATACTATGGACATTAAATCACCATTATTCAAATCGTCTTTATGAGACTATTCTAATGAGCTGTGTTTCATTAAATTTGGATCACTGGTTCTCAAGATAAATTAATTAATTATAATAAATCATGTGATATGACCATTTCAACCCCTCGAAATTAAATCATTATTGGAACACTAATTAGTGGTCTCTGTCAAGTATAAATTACTGTCTTCCATTTGTAACATTTAAACATACAAATAAATAATCAATTATTATAATAATAATTCTTCTAATTAAATTAATACCCATATAATAAATTACACTGGCATATAATAATAAATTGTAAATCCACAACATATTGGATTTTTTTCATTTACATTGTGCAACAAACAAATTATTCTTTAAAAATGTTTGAAATAAAAAATATTCCACCTGAGCTTCTGACTGGAATATTCAAATACATTGAAGATGATTATAAAACATTATATTATTGTATTCTTGTCAACAAACAATGGCACAATATCAATATTCCAACTTTATGGAGAAATCCATTTTATTCCCCTAACAGTATTAAAATATTAATTAATTGTTTATTAAAAGAAGATAAATATTCCTTGATTGGAATTGAATTAAATTTTATACTATTGGAGAAACCACCATTATACAATTATGCCAGATTTTCTACTATATTTCGAGATAATCTTGATTATCAACACCTAGTAAAACCTAGAGCAATAGATCTACAAATTTTACAAAATAAATTAAGAAACTTTATTTTAAATCATTCAGCAGGTATCAGAAAGTTTAATGGTGCTAATATGAATTGTAATGGGTTAATTAATCATCATAGATTTGATGATTGTTTTCAGGATCTTTATGAAATAAGTTGTTATAGTTATAATGGTGATGAATTTTTTGATAAATTAGCAAACATCTGTAAAAATATTCAGTCATTAAAACTATATTGTAGTTATAAAAATATGTATAAATTGGCACAGCTAGTTAAAGCACAAAAGCAAATTAAATATTTAGAGATTACAACACCTGAAAAAATTTTACAAAATGGATTAAAAGAAGCAATATTAACACATTCACAATCAATAATTGTTTATGAATCTTATAACAATGGAGATAATTTAAATGGTTTATTATTACCAACTTTTAAAAATTTAAAGACTTTACGGTTAACATCTCATGCTGATTTCAAAATAAAAAGTTGGAAAAATATTTCACTGCCAAATATTGAATCTGTGGAGTTATATATTTATTATCAACCATCAGATTTGTCTGATTTTATTAGTATCAATGGAAAAAATCTTAAAAAACTAGATGTTTATAGTTATGATGATGGTGAACTTTTGAGAAAGCTATTTCAATCAATTGCACAATCTTGCAAAAATTTAGAAGATTTAACTATAATACGTAGGAATGAATTAGGCCAGGAATTAATGGAAGTATTCAATAATTGCATTAAATTAAAAAGCATTAAGTTTTATGATAATATTTATAGTACAATTAATTGTGATAAAATATTAACAGTATTAATTGAAACATTACCAAAAAACTTAAAGTCAATAACTATTACCTGTAAGGTTTGTAAGATTAGTAGCAATCTTTTGGATATTCTAATGAAGAATTGGAGAGGACCCAAACCTTTAGCAATAACATTATATAATAAAAGTTTGCTAGACAATGACGATATAATAATTTTAAAAAAATATCAAGATTTAGGATTTTTAAATTATGAATAATATCATTTTATAAATACTATTAGTGAAAAAAAATCAGGAAGATTGAATCTTATATAATTTTATTATTATTGTCATACTTTATTATAACATAATAAATTTATTATTTCATGCTAAATTATATTATGATGAATGACATTTGACTATTACTGTTAAACATCAATTGGATGGTAAAGAACAGTTGGTTGACATTTGACATTATTTATGGTTAGCATTAATTTGATGTTAAGATGATTTCGTGGCAAGATGTGGTGGTCTCTCTCCAATGTAAATCACAGTTATGATAGTTACTTCCTTATAAAGTAACATTTTTCTAATTTCTAATCATACAAATAATTAATTACCAATTTAATAATAATTAAATTAATATTCAATATTTGATTATTTGATTATTTGACTAATTCCTTGCATAAAAACTATTAACTAGTTATTATTAATATTCAACGATTGATAATCGATCAATCCTTGTAGAAAATATTTTTATCTCTATTTTAATTAGAGGTTGGAAATTCTATAATCGGTTACTTAATCACGTGAAATGTTTACTATCCAATCCAATTAAAAAAGCTTTTCTTTGTCGGTTCTATTTTTCCTTCGTAGGCCTTGTAGTGATAATAATAATAGTAGTAGCAGAAGTAAGGGAAATTTTTCTTTTCTTTTCTTTTCTTAGTCAATTAATAATAATTATTATAGTAATTGGTTTTTCCTTAGTAGTAGTGATGTTAGCCGATAGAAAAATCTTAGCCGACTAAAAACTTAATAAATCCCAGTTGATGAAAAACCATTTCAGATGATACCAAGCTTGCCAGTGTTATCATTACTACTACTATCGTTATTATTATTACTATTGTTTACTATTTTTATTATAATATCTTACATTTAATGGTTCAAATTATTTGTTTTAATCGTAATGAATTTGAGTATTCGAAATTACATTGAGGTTTATTCAAATAAACCAAATAATTTGAATAAAATTGAGGTATATTACGAACAAATGAACAATAAGTCGAATGAACCAAATAAATTCGAATTAATATTAAAGAAAAAAGTAAAGATTGATGTTTTGGTATTTGTAGTTTGTAGTTAGGAACAGGATCGATTTTTAACCAATTAAGTTTATATACGAATAATCAGCGGATAATAATAATGATAATTTATTATTCGGCTGCAAGATAATAATATATAGCCAGAAATTTTCTACGCTAGTAAACTGTTTTCAGATGATGACATTGTTATGAACTCCAATGTAAGTTCTCCTATAGTTATTTAACAATATAATAATTTAATAAAATTCGGGAGCTCTTTGATTTATAGCTTGTTTTGATGTTTTGCCTTTGCAGGCAGCAGCATAATGTAAAATACAGCATTGAATAAGTTCTATTTTTGAGATTGACTCTTGAGATATTTCACCATTATTAGCCGAATCCGCATGAAAAATCCTTGTAAGATGGTAATTTATTTTTTTCTTATTTCCAACCTTTTATTTATAATAAAGCATTGTCATTTAAATATACATATGCAGTTTGTAAGCAACAAGAAATATAATTTCGCTAAAAGACTTACAATGTTTGAATCGATATATTCCAAGGTGATTCAGGTCGGAATAGAAATTTGCGGATTCAGATGTTGAAAATGATTTAATTATTCAGTATTTTTGATCACTAAATGGGTTTTTGAAGTTACAACAATGTCAAGTAACACTTATAGCAGATTATTACCTACTTTTAGCTGATTGTTCCTTTTCAAAAAAAAGTTAAGCCGATCACCATTATGATGCAAAGAAAAATTCAGGGTGGGTGGTGAGCTCAAAAAATTTTGAAGATGCATTCGGGTTCCTCCTTTTTTTTTCAAAAGACCTGTTAAAATCTTTTCTATGTGAAGATTTCATCTTGAAAAGGCTATAACAGAGTTTGGCATGAGCATGGAAAGGATTATTAAAGCCGATACCGATCCCAATATCTTGGGTTTAATATTATTACTTTATTTTTTTGGGAATAATTTTTAAGGAACTCTACAACTTGTAGTTGTATACAATCGAGAACTCTGCACACACGCACACAAAAAAAAAGGGGAACCAAGTAGAAATTTGATCACTAAAATTTTTCCACTACTACACTTAGATGACAAGGTAATGGACATGAAAAGAGGCTCAGATTAAAATTCAACAAAAACATCAAGGGGTTATTTTCCAACTCATTCATCTTTTACTTTTTCAAAATTGGTTTCTTAAAGGGTTTCATTTCTGTCTGTATAGTCTCGGTATTATTATTATTACTTGGGCGATGCAATTATTCATTATGACATAATTCGATAAATTCATAAAATTTTCAGTGTCACACCTATGAATTTAACGAGCATTGGCTGTATTTAGTATTAGTATTAGATGACGAAAAATCAAGATTCATATTTGTCAACATTTTGTGCTAGTTTGAATTCATCGTCTCTGAAAAATGGGCCAATATTATTATAAAGATATTCTTGATGTATAAGATCCATAGGAGTAGGCGCCAATATTGGAAAGAATGGAAGGAAGGAAACAATCCCTTGAACTTTTACCACAAGGGATTAGAAGAAAGTATCATGGGATTTTTTTTCTTATTTATTCAAGATTGGCAAGATTTTTCGTAATAATAACAATAATAAACTGAACACAAATTAATCATCCATTCTTATCTTAATGTTAACTAACATTAAAATAAATTTATTGTAAATCGTAAATTAATTTATTATAATGGAAGATATTTATATTTATCACTTTTAACTTTTTAATCTAAAAAATGATATTCATCTTTCGCAATATGACGGACGCAAGAAATATCTATTCCAAGAATAATAATAAAGCATTGGTTTTCTCTCAAAAAGAAGCTTCTAAAGAATGATTAGCTTGTCTACCTTTTTCTTTTTCTTGCTTAATTGGTCAATTTAAATTTAGGCTATTATAAGAGTTAGTGGCTCGGATTTCTTTGATTTTTTTCTTCAAAAGGTAATCTCCAAATCAAACCAATTCTGATTCCCAAGGATATATATGCATTCACCTGAATTTGATCTCATTTTGTTGTGTGAATTTTAAATTCACCAATCAGAATTTTATCCAAGCACCTCATCCATAATTTTTAATTGACGACAATCCGTGAGAAAAAATGTCAATAAAAGATCGTTACACGATAACAATAAACACTAGGGATCAGCGAAAGAAAAATGTCAAATTTACTAATTGACGACGACTTTGCATAATATACTTTAGTGCTATAAAATAATATATTTTTTATTTTGCATTATGGACCAAATGTCAATGAACATATCTATAATATATATAAGTTTTTTGACGTTTTGTAACTTAATAAAATAACAACAAAACGAGTGTATAATTATTTTTAATTGAAGTTTCTATTCGAATAAGAATTATTCTATTCATGGTATATTCAATTACACCAAATGATTGAACTTTTACTCGAAACTCTGAACTAGTTTTTAAATTCCAAAGTTTTAAAAAAGCAAAATGACTCCATAGTAATAAGCGCTTCATGTGAGAAAAGGTATATTTATTTAAATTTTATCGTCAATTAAAATCTTTTATTCCACGCAAAAATTAATTGTATCATTTACATTGTTAATAAATCATTATTTTAAAATGACAATTCAATTTAATTCAAGTTTTATTGAATCTCGAAACTTGGCCATAAATGTAAAATAACCGAAGTTGATCAAAAAGCTACCTTCGCACTTTTCATAATAAATGTAATGTAAAATTTATTTAAATTGATTGTATGTACAATAATAACTTTTAATAATGATAATAATATTGTTGTCGTTATTATTATTATCCTGTATATCTCGCATTCAACCTCCAAGTTTTAAAATATATTCAATTAGTATAATTAGTAATACGAATGTTATACGACAATTTATTCTACATATATTATCTCTTTAAATACAAATAACAAAAAAATTATATATCAGTAATGTTTGGCATATATATACATTGTAAAAAATTATGTAGTGGAACAAAAGCATAATACAACTTTTCGTGTCAAATTTCCCCATTGATCATTACGCGACTCGCTCATTCATAGACGGATCGTCAATTAATTATTTTGATTTTCACGCACAAACAACTTTGTGTGAACATTGTGAATATAATAATAATAATAATAATAATAATAACAATAACATTTTCTTTCTTGGAAATATCTTTTTTCAAATCACGATGTTTTGGATATCTTGGAAATTCAGTAAAAAGCCCATTTAATGTTTTATATTTTATATAGAAATTTTATTTAACCGTAAAATAATCATACATAGAAAATCATAAAGGAAAATGTTTAAGTGAAAAAATGGGAGGAGGCAAAAAAAAAGAACTAATTGTAATCTCGGCAAGAAAAAATGTTAAATGAATAGCTAAAAAAATTTTCCAAGAAAGATGATTGCTTGTAAGATAAACAGTAAGCAATAAAGTAGAGAAAAATTAAAATTAAAATAAAAAACAAAAGAAAAACGAAAGGTTATCTTTCATACATAAAAAGAAGACAAAAAGTTGGCAAAATCTTTTCCTTTTAAGTTCTGCTTTCAAAAAATAACGTGAAAATTTTTTGTATTTATTTACTTTAATTTTCATTCCATGTTGTGTGGTCAAATAGTTGACCAGCCTAATTGCGAAATCTCTGTTAATTCTCTTCATCTTGTTGGCCACAAGTACAGCGTTTATAAATGTTGTTTCATCAGTTTCCTTGGGCCTTCATCAGTGTTCAGTACACATAAACCTCTAGTGTCTTATGTGGCGAGAAATTGAACACCACCCTTCACATTTAATGCGATCATCAGAAATTTTCGCAGTTTGTCCACATACTGCATGATACCAATTTCCAACATCATCATCGCCTCTTGGACATCCAAGAACTGGACAAGGTATTGTTAGATAAATCCATTCAACCATGTTGATAAAAGAATTACTTGACTTTTTTGTTTAAATATTGTTCCAGTCTGAAAACAATTCAAAGCATAGTTAAAAAACATTTAACAATTAATTCCGAATCATTAAAATGTTTAAACCATAACTTATTCTTTTCAGATTTTTTTATTCTTTCAACTGATGGCGAAGAAAAATAGTTGAGCGAGAAGTTAGGGTATATATATAAGAAAAAAGCTCTACTGGCTTTCTTTCAAAAGCCTTTTAACATAATCAATAAACTTCTAATTTGGTTAAAGTTCCGCAGCCACTAATTGTTAACGTTTATTAAAATTCAAGTTTCGAGCAGATCATTCAAAGTTAAATTGTTATCGTCAGAATCAAAGAATAAAGAATTTATTTTTATAATTTAAATTGCCTTTTATCTGTTGTTCTTTATTTGTTTGGGGTGTTTTATATGCTTTTGTTCAACTATTATTGGTATTGAATGTGTTTCTTTGCAAACAAAATTTTTTTAGCAATAAACCAATAATTTATTTTTATATACAAAGTTTTTTCTTATATATAACATCTTTTATTCATAAACAAAATCTTTCTTATTTTCAATAAGTTACATAAACATATTCTTACGCTGAATGTTAAAGCCCTCTTTATTGATTATATTTCTTTTGCTAAACTTTTTTGTTTATTTTTCATGAACAAAGACAACGAGGAAAATGTGGGGTCAAACTCAATCACATGCACAAGTTACCTTAACTGCCTACCAAAGAAAAGCAATCTACAAGACTCTTTATTTTATGATAGAGGAGTTGGAGCAATGCATTGACAAATGTTACTCTAATTGGCACAACAAGAAACAAATCCGTGATGATAATAGACCACTCATTGACAGCCTAGAAGAAGCCACAGAATCATTTTCTGCCGCACTGTTTGGATTCAACAAGGCATTGACTAATAGACCTTCTCATCTACTTCCAGAACTGCAAAACGAATTTTATAGATGGTTTGATGGCACAGGAGTCAACGCTAGCAACTACTTTAGAAACCTATCTAATGTCTTGTTTAATACCTACGAAGTATTAATTGGTCAGGGAATAGTTTTGCCCAAGAAACATTTAATAGAGGTGATGCAAACTTTAATAGAATGAGCAAGGAAGAGTGTGCCAAGGCGTTAGGTCAAGCCTTTGTCAGCCTTCAAGTTCCTTTGGAAAATGGAAGAGGATCTCGTTGGTAAAAATTACAATGACATCACTATTAAAAGTAGATTTGGCGGCACCACTGAGCATGACAAAACAAACTTTTGAGCAAATTATTAACCGTATCATGTCTAATATGGACCTTCAATAAAAAAAATCTAATTCCTCTTTGACTCGGTCAAAATAATAACCAAAAAAAATAATTCGACTAAAATTACTCTTATCGTTTCTTCTATCTTGGTAATATTTGTCTTTCTTGGTCTCTTTCTTTTTTATCCAATGAATAAATAAAAATTGAAAGTAGCGATAGATTATTTTTAATCTTTTTTTATCTTTTATTTCTTTCTCTCTAATCGAACATTTATTAGTCTGGTGTTGTTCTTGTTTAGTTTATTTTATAAGGATATATGATTATTAAAAATATTAATAAAGTTTTTTAAAATGAGTAGTAACAATAACAAAGAGTGTTAAAATAAAAAAGGATGCTTTCAGCCTTCTCTTCTTCGCATGTCAGATTTTTCTCCCAATCATTCATTCCTTACTCAGAAAACGGGACAAATTTTCTTGACATCCACTTTGAAGGAACATCATCCATCTATAAACATTAGACCAATCTCCTTTTTACTTATTTAATTGTCCCAGATGATAACTCGGCTGCTATTAATCAATTCAAGCTTATTAATCCTGACACAGAAAACTGAATTATTTTGTTGCTTCCTTTTTTACCAACTTAAAAATTTAAAAGGAAAGTTTCCTGAAAATAACTCGTAAATACAAAAACTTTTTCGTGGACATGCTTTTTTGGTCAATGACACTGATCAGATGGAAAAGGTTGACTCAGAACCACCTTTTACCTTTAAATTAGTTAATCACTATGAAACTGGGTTTAATATATAGTAACAATTGGGTCAGCTTCAAAATTCTAAAGCAAAAAATTTTTATATCATTTTAAAGAAAGTCAACCGATAGGCTTTATTGTTCATGGCTCAAGCTTCAAAATTCATCAGCTAGTTTTTCTTAAACTAAAAGTTGGTTGAGCCCTAGCATTGTGAAATTTCAAAATTTTGTTATACACTTGAGAAATTGAGACCAAGTAAATTTCGTATAACAAAATTTTTTTCATATTCATATAGAAAAGTTTTATAAAAAAGTTTAACGAACACACATTAAATTAATATTAAAAGAAACTATTACCAAATTTGTCACATAGTTCAAAAATCTATTACTATGAAAAAAAAGTTTTTTTTTGAGACAAATTTTATTTTTACTTAAAGCTGAGGTAATCCAAACGTTTGAACCACGTGGCATTTTGAATGTTTTAACTCGATCATATATAGATGATCCGCACTGTATGACTTACGAAGAGAACGTTTGTTTATGTTGATGTCCTTGAAGTTGAATCTCTTGACTTCGGAATCGAAGGAATGTCACCAATAACCTATTCCGTTTTTTTCATTTTCAATATGACCCAAAAATGTTGACCCAATCACTAAAAAACAAAAAAATTTGCTAAAATACACGAAAAAGCTGTTTGCGAATGTCATCAGGAGCCAATTTACATTTGAAATTAGGAAGATAAAGTTCAAGAGTCAAGATACATAGAAAATAAGCAGTGTGAAATAGAAGACTTAAATAAAAGAGTGAATAAGTAACAAAATCCTGCCCAAAAAATTCAGTTATCTGTCCTCCGAATGAGATGAGAAAATTGGCCAAGGATATATGTAATTATAATGTGTTAAATTTAGCCACGATGATGGCTTTGGCAAAATAATAAAATGAAAGAAGTAGAAAGATAAACAATTCTAAAAATCATCCAAGGAACAAATGAAAGTAATCTCAATGATAAAAATAATCAATCTACCAACAATTCTGAACCAGAACATTCAGACAAAGAAAATGAAAAAATTTGACTAGTAGGAGGAGGTTTTGCTTTTATACCGAGTGGTTTTCTTTCTTAGGAAAACAAAAAACATAAAGATTGGTATTTGTGTGTTTACTAAATTGTTTAAGTTTGTTAATGGTTAATTTTCATTTTTAAAAAAAGCTATAGATTGCTAAAAAAAAAATTCCAAGACATTTGATTAATGGTGAAAAATAAGACTTGCAAAACTAATTGCTAAATTAGTAGGTAAGTGCATAACTGTCAGAACAGCAAGAACAGCAATATTCAATTATTTATTTCTTTGAATCATCTTTGCTGACAGTAAGTTTAACAGTGGCGCTCGCTTCTTGGTATGTTCTTTCATATTAAACATTATCATTTTTAGTTTCACAGTGAATTTTAGGATAAAGATTATTGCTTTTTTACCATTATTAATAGTAATAGTGCCTGTTAAAATTTTTTACGATTTACCAGAATTTTGGCCTTTAAATCCTTCCAATTGCTTCTTGGTTTGTTCCTTTGTTATAGGATAAAATTAAATTGTCAATGGTAGAGTCATGATTTTCAGAGGTGAACTCACTTCAAAATAAGTCAGTATTGGCATTAATATTTCTATCATATAATTCTTTTTTAATTCTTGCTTTTTTATCTTTATTTACGACAGTAACGGTATATTTTTCATTATTTCATATTTTAGAAATGAAAAATTTTGTTAAAAGAAGAATTATTATTTAAGATATATCTTTTATAATTGATTGACGATCAGTCTAAGAATGAGACTATTACATGTGATCAAAATTATTGAATTAGTCATGACGCAATTAAAAATCAAGAAAACTGACATTACATCACTTGTCATAATTTTATCCAACTGACTCAAGCAAGACGCAATCAGTGACTCAAGATGTAATTAGCGACGTAAGGCGGAATTAGTGATTCAAGCAAGACACAATTTGTAATTCATGACACATGACACATGATTATTAACAAATATTTAAAAGCATAAACTTAATTGAAATTTATTTATATAAATTACATCAAAATTTGAATTCATCATCTGATAATGTTCAATTTATTCTAATTAGTTAGACAATGTATGTGTTGCATCAAGTACTTGTGCCTCAATTTGTTCGGCTGATAGACTTTGCCCAAAAATTACATTTGAGTTTGAAATGTAATGTGAATGCATTCTGGCCATTTTCTCAATCCAAATCGGACCTTGAAAATACCCTTTCACAGCTTGCTAAATGTGATACAATGCTCAGCAATTTAAGAGCAATTGTTTAACGCATGATTTCCAGACAGAAGTATCTCTTAATGAATCATAACCCAAATCAAATGGATGCTGTCATATAATTCGTTCAGTAATTTTTTCAACCTATGCAGTCAAAAAATTTTGCTGTAATACTATCAGAAGAAAAATTTTCTATTTTCCAAGATACTCTCGCCTATCAGAAGTTATCAACACAAAACTATTCTATTACTTAGATCACTCCACCCGTCAATAGCTAAAATTATGCTCCTGCAAATAATTTAATAATTCCGTTTTACAATAATATTTACCAAATATAATATTTAATTGTAGAGTTGTGGATCATAAGCTGGCTTCAGTTGTTTGCAAACGGAATTGAACATGCTGCAAAAATTTTGATTGATACTATTTCGCCTATGATAATTTGACCTTGAACTTTCAAATTTATATTCAAACATCAGGTGATGGAGTTAAGCATTATAGATTAATTATTAATTGTAATAATAATAATATTTATTAGAATCAAAATTCTACATAAGTGTCATCACCATCATCACTCCATATAATCATTAAGATCTGATTGCTTGTTATTGTTTTATAATAGTTCTATTTGCAACAACCTCAAATAGTATATTCATTACGAATACTGTTAAAACAGCAAGACATTCTGTTGCTAGATGGTCCTCAAGTCCAAGATTCATCACAACCTTCTACTAGCAATAACAGTTGCTTTATTAAAAATTTTCCGCACTGATGTTTCGCCTTCAGAACTAAGCATATTTAATCCAATATTAAAACAAAAATTTCTTATCTATTTTGATGATGATAGAGAATTCAATGATAATAATTATTCCTTCCGAGAAAAATTTATTTTATTAAAATTCGTGTTGCTGCGTCTTGCGTCACAGATTGAACCAATTTTTATTGTTATCATGTGATTTTTCATTTTGACATGTATGAGACCACAGTTCACTCTCCCTATAACGGTTTTCACTCTATGACAGACTGAGGATCTGGGATCTATTCATATGTCTCAGTCAAGGTTTTATTGGAGTAAAGGGCGTAGTATTTGATTGATTTGTGTGCATTTAGAAAATACCAATTGATTGTTGGGTTGTTGACCATTGAGATTAAATTAGTATTAAATTGACATGAAAATAAGTGAGTGGTATTTTGTGGGATCAATTGCAGTAAAGACAATTAAGATTAGGTTGGAGTAACATAGGATAATTATTTGTATCAAATTTTTATTATAGGTGAATATGAAGAATCAAGTTTATGATTCATAAGAAGCATAAATTATTTTCACACAATTTTTATAATGGTGGAATGTTAATTAAAAACAAACAAATAATAATACCATTTGATCAACTGAAAAAATGCATTCTTTCTTTTATATTCTTAAATTTCATTTTATAGAGAATAAAGCTAATTAATCTATTGCTGTAATTTATCTAAAAATCCAAATTCATTTGATTAGAATCTATAAAATCAATTATTATAGGCATATTAATATTGATATTATTAAAAAAAATATGATGAAAATTAAATAATAATAATTACCACCATTATTTCCAATGATTGTGACTTTATTGGAGTTTACAGGCTGAGGAAGATTTGTAAAATTCAATAATCTGCTAGTATAAATAGCATTTGGATGTACAGTTACTGTAATTGTTGAAGGATCATATTCAATCTTATCCATTTCATCAAATATTTTTTTAATTAATTTTACTTCATTTGAATCTATAGAGTAACCTTTTAACATCTTATTCCAAAAATGAATATTATTAAAAATTTCTTCAGCAGTTGGACGTT